GCAGATAACCAGTAGTACCCGCTGCCACAAGGCCTTTTGTCCGGCTCTTTGAATCGAATAACGATACTAGCCACCACTTTTATAACCCGCCCACATCTAAAGTTTGGCGGTATCACATCTCGATCCTTTGACCCTTCTATTCACAGCCCGATACGCTTACCTTGGCCACACCCGGGCCAATATCAAGAAACAATGATGTAACCAGGATATGCAAAACCAATAATATAAAACACTTTTGTCCAGACATTTTTGAGATAGATTTGCATTGTTCAAAAACTACACTCAAACAATAATTGATGTAACTGGAACACTAAGAGCCCTAAGAACACATGTATTACATTGTTTATCTTAAGTGATGGTGAAAACTTAGCACTAACCATAAGAACCTGTCAAAAATAAATACCAGGAGTGGAACACAAAAGGTCCAGCGTACTTCATTTTTATCATAAATTATGGTGAACAATTTAAAATTGATCAGTTTGTTTATTTTAGGCAAAGCTACACTGGGCTATCTACTGTGTCCACGGTAGTGAATCGAGCCTTGGATTTTAACCTTGTAAGTCCGTAAACTTATCGCTGTCTCACCGGGAGACTAAATTGATCAGAAAAATAAATCAAAGAATGGTTATAACCGGGTCATATACAGCCAAACTATATATATGTATGTATATTAGTTTTTAATTTTATAAATTGTTATAAGTACAAGGCCAATAAAACGATGAATAACGTCTTTTTTTCTTATTCGCACAACAACAAACAGGAAGACATACGGTTGCAAACTTGGCCCAAATGGAATTCTGTAATGTACACCAAGATCTCAAGGTCACGACATGTAAATATATTTTTTCTCCCATCGCACCTCTAAAAACTTAATTCAACTTACGACTTACTTTTATTATGTGAAATCGCCTTTAATCTGAATCCAATAAAAATATTAAATGGGCAATAACAACCAAGTTAAGATAAAGAGGTTAAGGAGGTCAGTCATACTGAGACGTGGTATCAAAAAAGAAGTCGAGTCACATAAAAGAATCAAACCCTATAAAGATGTAATATAAAAGTGGGTAAGGTAAACAACAAAAACATTGCGGAATCCTTAGCCCCCTTTCTTATTGCAACTGGAATAAGCAACAACATGAATATATAAAGGGGAGCCAATTTTGGGTAAGATATCATTACTTTTTGTTTTGATTACAATTTTTCACCACAAAAAAACTTGAATACCGAGAAAAATTATTATTATTCAAACATATACTATACACCACTTTTTTAGTTGTTTTTTTTATTATTAAAGTATGCCATATGTTGCATACTTTTTTTTTCTATTAATGTATGCCATATGTTGCATAAGCATAATTTTACAGTATTTAAAAAAGCTAAATTGTTTCAATTCAAATCACATTTATGTCCTTAGTAGCTGTGTTATGCATTAACCATTAAAAGTCCCGCAGCACTCGACTCGCAATCTAAGGGTCGCGGGTTCGAATCCCCGAAACATGCCGTCACCTGGTGTCCTACTCCCGGATACTCGCCTCCAACCCCATACGAAACTACTACCATTAAAAGTGTAATTTCTTTGAATTACTATACATGCTACTGATGTCAAACCGGCTGCGTTCCAATCAATATCTATCTGTGATATTTTTGTGACATCATCTATTCATTTACATTATGCTTTGCTTCCACAACAACAAGTGTGTGTGTGTGTGTGTTTTATAACAAACCCATATCGGGCTATCTGCTATGTCCACCGAGAGGAATCGAACCTCTAACTTTAGCTTTGTAAATCCGTAGACTTACCGTTGTCCCATCGGGGGACCCACAACAAGAAGATTAAGAACTGACATAAATGTTGACGGATCAGTTCTTATAATCTTATATACGAGGTTGTTGCTTTTCTTGTGATGCAAGAGTATCTAAACTGTTCAGAAACATAGGAATAAAGGCATTCCAGCAGTATTGAGGAAAAGATTTGTCTAAAAATATGTCTCTGTTTATTCAGTAACAGTATTGTTACTCTAAACCTTCTTCTAATAACTTGACTAGACTCACTACCACGCCTCTAGATATCTTGCACATAGAAACTCAAGTTTTTACATATTTACAAGTCCTGTCAGGCAAAATGCAATAACTTTTCTACGTTTAAAAATAGTCAATGTTTTTCATACAAAATTGGTAAAATTATTAATAAGAGATGTTTAGTGAATAAAAACTATTTTCTAAAATAAATTAGCTTTATTAAAACCTGAACACATTGCCGTAGTTCAGTTAAGCATTTTGACTTTGATATTGGAAAAAAAACAAGACGACAAACGATAAAAATAGCAATACTTTTAACCACTGACTGAGTGCTTATTTATTCTAATCTATAACAGATATCACATATTTTAATAAGTATATTATTTCAAAATGAATTAAATAAGATTCTATCCGAAGTGGGATTCGAACCGCACAGAGATAAAGCTTCTGAGACCACCATGCCATTCCCTTATTTTTTTTTACTTCCACGTACCCCTAAAGTAATCAGTTTTAACCTAGTGGCTGCGGAAAGCAATTGAACATTAAAATTATATGAAAAAACAAACAAAAAAAAACAGACTAATATATATATATATATTCTACGGTTTTTAACAATCCTTGTTCAGAGTAATATAAACAAGTGGAATTTTGTTTCATGCCAGTCTTTCTTTGTTTACTATATGTTTATCACTTTTTGACTGATTTTTTAAAATCAAAAACAGATATGTAGTTGCTTTGTCTATTGTGATGTAAGTATTTAGATCTGTCCAGAAACGTTAAAAAAAGCGGTATTCCAATACTTGTAACAGTTGTGACAATACCCAAGATTTGATCAAAAGTGCAGTACAGTATATATAGTTACAGCACTGTTACTTCATCCTTCCAACTTGGCTAGAGACACTGCCGTGCCTCAAGATAATATGGCTGAAATATCACAATCGAGGAAATAACAGTCCACGTGCTAACTTTAATGTTACTCGCGAAACGCATTAAAACAGTGGTTCGTGAATTATATTCAATTCGTATATCAATGAATACATGACAAGTTGCTATGTATACGAATAAAATTAAGTTTTTTAATTATGGGTAGAAAATTCCATTCCTCAAAATCTCGGTATCTTAAGACCAACACGTCAGTGTTGGTGCTTCACACACCATTAAGCTTAGCGGGTATTTTTCATAAGTTTCTGAAATTATTAGGAAAAATGCCCTCTTCTGGCCGAAAAGAGGTCATAATTTATTAACATCATTCATTCGTGTTATATATATATATATTCTGGTAAACAAAAAGAGGGCCTGCGTGGCTCAAAATATGAATCTAAGAGGTTTTTCTTGTAAGTGACGACGTCACACTGTTGAACAACTGATACGTTTCCTATGTTTAATGGACTGATATTTCAAAGTACGTTTTACACAAACCTTCTAAGTGAACTCCCAATGTTTAAGACTATGATTATAGCTGTAACCTTATAGCTTCGTTCTTTTAGTCGCATATTTTAAGCTCAAATAACACACCAATTCATGACGTATTTGGTTGGCAGAGATGTTTGTTTGTTTCTTTTTGTTTTTTGAATTTCGCGCAAAGCTACACGAGGGCTATCTGCGCTATGCTATCCGTCCCTAATTTAGCAGTGTAAGACTAGAGGGACGGCAGCTAGTCATCACCACCCACCGCCAACTCTTGGGCTACTCTTTTACCAACGAATAGTGGGATTGATCGTCACATTATAACGTCCCCACGGCTGAAAGGGCGGGCATGTTTGGTGGGACGGGGATTCGAACCCGCGACCCTCAGATTGCGAGTCGAGTACCCTAACCACCTGGCCATGCCGGGCCTTGGCAGAGATGAAGAGGAAATATTTTACGAAGTTTTAAAACCTTACAATATATAGTAAACGATGCATCTAGAGATTATGGTATCTTTGTAAGCCTAAAAGACAACTATACGGCCGTCTAGAAAACGTTGAAATTAATATTTTTTTCCATATAGTCTATGCAATGTACAAATTAGAACAGCACGTGATTCTTTAGTATAATAGTTAAAACAACTTAAACTTATATTTAAAATTGTATAATAGTATTAATTATTTCCTGCCAATTTGGTAAATATGTATACAAAGAGTACATCTTTATACAGCACGTGCTGTAATTTGTTTAGAACACCTATAGATGTTACATATACACCAGTGCAGACATACCTTGCTGGGCTTCCCAAGCAATCCACCTTACAAGTATAATAAGCATAAAACACGCTTTAATCAAATATATTTTACAGCGAAGTGTTCAGTATATTCCAAGTTTATTTGCTTTCCCATCTTTATTTAACACTTCCAAGCAAGAAAGACAACGTCACGAACAAAAATTAGTTCAGTTCAGCTGTGTAATTTTTTTATGTTTTTATAACTTATGAGTACTATTAATAGCCCTCTCACCCACCCAGAAAAATAGGGTAAATTCACAAACCTCTTTCAGCTTGAACTCATTTGTAACTTTAGAGAAAGTTGAAATTTAACTAGTATAATTCGCAATGTATATGTAGCCTAACGTCACGATCTACTGAACAAAGTATACTAGAGGGGGGGGGGGAGAGGAGGATTTCTTTTTTTAAAGGAAGTAATTTGTAACTTTTATTTCCATGTTCTTCGTTTAGTAAACTGTATGAACTTCTGAGACAATGTGACACCCATGATCAGCGTGGATATTTACACAGAATTATATACATTATTAAAATCGCACTGTTACACTGAAAAGAAAGCATTTGTGTTTTACTCTAAAATAGAATTTGGCGCAAACTAATTACAGAATAAACAGAACACGCGACTTTGCAATTAACAAAAGAAAAATGTTATCGTGACAAAATTTTATTGGTTACGTGCTAATAAATAGAACAATAATTTGTTTCAGAGGTATTTAAATAATTCAGAAATAGATATAAATCTCATTTGAGTGATTGGTTAAAAGCGTTTTATTTTTATTTTCAGGTGATCCGTGTGTGTGTTTTTTCAGTAACATCACAGCACAAGTTACTCTGTCCGTGAAAAACTCGTACTGATGAGAAATCGTTGGGTGTGGTGCTTTAATTGATGGTGGTCATGCATGAATATAGTGAGCAGAAGGAAAAAAAACCATCACCTTTTGTTTTCACGGTTCGTATAGTCTTTGGTAGATAAGCCCAGTTTTCACGCTGTCTGGTTATATTAAATCAATCTAGTGGAAATTCACACGAGAGACTACTGGTACCCAACTATCAGGTTTCTTACGTGAATTTGTTCATGATGAGCGAGAGTAGTTGGAACTGGAAAAGGTTGAGGTTCTAGCGGCTGTAATCTTAGAGCAGGTTACCAAGCTTTGATTAACAGGCTACTCAGACTTTCGTAATTCAGCCTACTGAGTTACAGGTAGTGAAAAGTCTTATTTATGCTGGATATTTTTGTAATTAACCAGAACTTTGTTGTTTCAGTATCATCGTGTCGACTGAGCGCGCTGTCATTCCGCTTGTGGTACTAATATTCTAACCGTTATTCCTCAGCAAAAATGATTGAGTAATCCAACAACAGAATAGCTGAAACGACAAGAAAGTTACTTAATCTAGCATTTATTTTGTATAAAACATCCGTGAAATAGATGCAGCTTACAATAAAACAGCAGTATGAGGCACTAGGAGTGGCGGGTCATACGAATACATGCTTATACTTGGTTATAATAAAACATAGGAAAAGGTAGCCACAAACCCCTGACAATAAATGATATAAAACTTACAAACCCAAAAGAATATCACTTTCTTTCATATAACATTATAATAAACATTCAAAAATATAAATGGTGGATTTTAAATTAAAATTATTATTATAAATGTACAGTAAGAAGCCCATAATGACGATGTTATCGCGTTATTTTAACAGAAATTCAAACCTGATTCATTTTTAGTATCGTTTAATTTCTTTCTGGTAAGGTTTGGGTTGCTTTATTCCTAGCATACTAGTAAATATACCATTAATTACTATTCAGAATGAATGTCAAATACGTCTCGTAATCAACATACATGTATCTTTTTATTTGAATAAAAACACCAATTCATTCCTGACACCTACTCTACCTTTCACCCTCTTAAGAACTTTGTTACTGAACAGTATTTTGATAATTTTCCACGGCTAACTGTCACACTTTCATCAGTTAATCCTCTAAAAACTTTGCTACTGAACAGTGTTTTGATCATTTTCCACGGCTAACTGTCACACTTTCATCAGTTAATCCTCTAAAAACTTTGCTACTGAACAGTGTTTTGATAATTTCACACGGCTAACTGTCACATTTTTATCATTTTATACTATAAGAACTTGGCTACTGACCAGTGTTCTGATAATGTTCCACGGCTAACTGCCACAGTTTCATCAGTTAATCCTCCAAGAACTTGGCTACTGACCAGTGTTCTGATCATTTTCCACAGCTAACTGACACAGTTTCATAAGTTAATCCTCCAAGAACTTGGCGACTGACCAGTGTTCTGATCATTTTCCGCAGCTAACTGCCACAGTTTGATCAGTTAATCCTCTAAGAACTTGGCGACTGACCAGTGTTCTGATAATTTTCCAAGGCTAAATGCCACAGTTTGGTCAGTTAATCGTCTAAGAACTTGGCGACTGACCAGTGTTCTGATAATTTTCCAAGGCTAACTGCCGCTGTTTCATCAGTTAATCGTCTAAGAACTTGGCGACTGACCAGTGTTCTGATAATTTTCCAAGGCTAAATGCCACAGTTTGGTCAGTTAATCCTCTAAGAACTTGGCGACTGACCAGTGTTCTGATCATTTTCCAAGGCTAACTGAGAAACAAGTGGCAACAAACATGCCGAGAAATATTAACTAGAGTATGATACAAACTTATAAATTTCTAGCGGCAGCTAATTGCTGACCAACGAAAGGGTATCAAAATATTTCGTTATGTACATAACTATTATATATGTGTTACAGTTTAGGTCTATTAAGTTCATAACCGTGTATGTAATTTGGCCTACAATGAGAACACATTGCACACAAATTAGTAAACGCATCGCCACAGCTTGGGTTAAACTAATCTACAGTGGCATTACTTTGCAGTCGGATAATAATGATAGGGCATAACATTTTTCAGTAACAAAAATATTTAAAAGAAGCTTTATAAAATTATTGGTGGGACAAATGCTCCACTTGCCACAAGTGTTCCGGCGCCCTTGTTACAGAGGCTTAAGTTAAATTTAATTATGATATATATTGTTTATTGAATTTCGCGCAAAGTCACTCGAGGGCTATCTGAGCCAGCCATTCCTAATTTTGAAGTGGCAAATAATAGTGGGTCTGGCCTTCATAGTATAACGCTCCTAAGGCGAGCAAATTCGGTGACAGAATTCGAACATGTGATCCGCAGATTGAAAGTCGAGTGCCCTAACCACCAGGCTATAAATACTAGTTAACGTCCACGGGGCCATTGCAAACTGCACAAAAAGGGGGGGGGGGGTATTAAGTAGAGACTAATTAGGTCGTATGATAATACCTCTATTATAAACAAATATGTCTATAATAAGTGGTAGCAAACATAGCCTATTTATTTATAGCTTTGTTATAAATATCAGTGCTCATTATTGCAGTAAACATGGTAATCATTTTTTATAAGTGTCAAAAAAAATCCTGTAAAGGGGTCCTGCCATGTACCGGGTAACCTCCTTTGATTGGCACCACCAAAGCGTCTTTAAGTTTGGTGCTACTGCGTAAAAAAGCGGGAAAATCATAGCCTATGTGACATTTATCAGTTATTGTACTTGTTGCTGATCTCTGCGCCCGGAGGGGAGGGGGGGTAATTAGAGGGGGTGTTCATTAGGGCAATACCGTATATAATTAACTTATTTTTGATAATGGACACTGTAAAATAAATCCTTAAACTTCAATATTTAAAGGAAACATTCTAATTTTCTAATTGTAGGCAAAATTTCATTTGGTTTATTAAATATTGCGCAAAGTTACACGAGAGCTATCTGGGCTAGCCTTCCCTACTTTTGAACTGATAGACTAGAGGGAAGACAGCTACTCAACACCATCTATCGCATACTCTCGGGTTACTCTCGTCAGACTGAATACTGGGATTAGACCATCGATCTTATAACGCACCTACGGCTCTAAAGTGCGGGACGCAATTATTAATATTTTATTTTGTATAGTAACAGGTCACGAACTCTGTTTCAGTCCGGTACACTAACCGCCTTCCTATACAGAAGCAGGCAATCTTCAGTGTTAACAGTAAGATTTTCCGTGTGTGTCTTAAGAAGTAGAAACACGTTACTTACACGTTCATTTTACTTGCGTACTTTTAAATATTTTCCGTTATTCATGTACTACTTCTTACAATACCAGTAGTTTTATTTAACTCAGATTATATCAGAAAAAATAAAATTTTTGAAAACGTACGCGCGGGACACGAGTTTACTAAAATCACACTGCAGCTTAATATTCTAGCGAAACGAAATCAAAGCCTCGTTCGGTTACAGGGCCAGATTGGAAGGGAGCGGGGGCAAATGGGTGCATTTATACTGGTCCGCACGGATCCCTCGACTACGTGAAAAATAATCAAAAACTTGATGTCTCATTGGAATACATATGCTTGCAACTGTGTCACTATGACAACAGTGATTTTAATCGTTTCATATAAACCTACTATATTGTAATTACTTTATATTCATTAGAATTAGTGTTTTGTATATTATCTATTAATCGCTTGTATTTGTGAGTTTCCCTAACTGCAGTTAATATACAGTATTGAATTGTGTTTAACTTTTTTAAAATTAATTTCAGTTCTGTGACCCTCCCCCCTACAAAATTTGCCACGGATCTCTCAAGTCCTTAATCTGGCCCTATTTGGGTACGTGATTTATTATAACATACAATAACTATATAAAACTTTCAACAGTTTCATTGTCTTTTCGAGCTTAGTAATGAGACTGAAAAGACTAAATCTGTTCTTTCCGACATGCCCGGATCCCAGACTGACGTTTTTCCGTCTACAAGATTTTCAGTAACCTTTGCCTTCTTCACGCTTCAATAACTGTAAAACTTACAATATACGACCATGATCTCTTATACAAACAACAACATATGCAAACAAAGTATCTTTGATAATATTCTGGTTATTCAGAAAGGCTAGAACAGACTGTTTTCTATAGAAATGCGTATTATAAACATTTGCTAAACCTTGAAACGAGGTAAAACACTGTGCGAGGTCGGTGTGTAGATCAGCTCACAAACCTGTTAAGTAACTTCATTGTCCGTTACAGAAATTTCAAGTTAGAAACCTACACATACATTTTTTTCTTACTTGAGATACGCTGAAGAACCAAATATGTCAAACTTGATTTTTTAAATATAAATGAACTTTCAAAACAAGAAAACTTCAATATTGTTTCTGTTTTATACTATCACAGCATAACTTTCACACACACATTTAGAACGCCGTTTTTTGACAAGTAATGTGTTAGCAGTAAAAATCCTGAGGATTGTACAGAATTAAATATGATATTTACTTCAAGAAGATCGACTCATAGCTTATGTTAAAAGTTAGTTAATAAGTTTTTCTGACATTAAAACTTTATTTGTGATACACACACAATCACATACAGTCTCGTTATTTATCAACCACCGAATAAAAACAATTCTACAAATATTTTATTTAGATTAGTAAATTTTGCTAATATTCAATTAAGTATAAACATCAACAGTCAACACCATACTAGATTCAAATATAACGACAATTCCTGGGCGAGTTTGATGAAAAAAGAAGCTTTTTTTTTTTGCTGCATACAAAAAATAAATCAATTTAATCTAACTTTGACTTAAATAACATACTTATTTTCCATACATGTAAACTAGGAATGTCAGTACAGAATACCTTTTACTAATTTACACATAGGTATTTCACGAAACAAAAAATGTTCTTTCAGATCTGCTTTAGATATAAAAGGCATTTGCAAAAACCCTAAAAATATCTCAAGAAATATTTCTGTGTCCACTTCATTCTAATAAAATATGTAATATTTATTTTTGTCCAAAAGCAATATTTTCGAAAATGCAATAATAAGTTTTTATAGTTTTCTCATCTTGAAATCATTTTTATTTAAATAATATTTACCATATCCTACACTAAGATCCATATTATATTTATTTACCATTGGTGGCTTTTATTTTAGTCATTTTTTCTAGGAATATCAAGAGAGAAGACATATTAACTAGCTTGTTTATCCACAGTTTATCAAAACACCTAAATCATTTAGTACAAAACTCCTGGAACTGCCATGTTGTCTATGAAAACAGTATAGTATTTCAAGTTTACATCTTAAAGTGTTTAATATTCCTCCCTTTGCATAGTATCATTAATGTTATTCATTACTTACCAGTACTTGTCATCGCCTGATTAGCAGTGTTTTTGTTGAAATTAACATATTTAAAGCATTTGGTTTTCATGTTTTGCAACATACAACCTCACATTTTGAACATTACTGTGGATTAACAGCTGAGCTCAAGACAGCTTGAAACTTTACCAGTGAAACAAACTTGAATAAATATAAAGCACAAAATATTTTTTTGAAACTTTTTCCATAAATACATTTTTTTAATCTAATAAGAAACAAGAGTTAGAATATTAAATACTAAGCAGACCCTACACTTTTGCAAGAGGACTTCTTTTCCTAAAAAGGGTTAACTTCCACACACACACACACACACAATAATTTTATTGGTCTCAATTATTATTTCTATTAGAATTATTATACGTTCTTAGTCTGGACTATTCGATGATTTTGTTATTGGTCTTCAGCAAACTCTAAGTGAAGGTTCCTTGATAAAGAGAATTAACTTATCAAACTCTAGCATGAAAAAAAACTAAAAAAATATCTCAACAGATAAAAGCTTTAATTATTTTTTTTTCATATACAATTTTTAATCCTTTCTATTCCTGCTGTTTGAAAACAAAATTCCTTAACAAACAAAACTTCTTAGCTAGCAATACAAGACCTTAGCTAGTTTACTGAGAACAATACAGAAACATAATCCATAGTTGATAACCTTTGACTGGCAGAATAATGCAAACAAACCAAGTAGAAAACTTTGTCTCTAACATTCACTTAGATAGCACTGAAGTAGTAGGTGAATGAACAGCATCTATACATCATAATAATATTATTCAAGAAAATCTAGCTGTCTTACCTGATCAGAAGAGCCAAGCATCTCATGAGACGAAAGAAAAGGAAGATCTAGTGATGCTTTTCGAGGATGATCTATAACTCTGCCTGATTCGTCGAAACCCTCCTAGAGGACACAATTCTTGTTAGTTGTGTTTCTTGAGAATGTATTTAATGTTTCAAACACAAGTTTAGAAAGCAGCTATTATACGTTCATATACAAGTAGTTAAAAAAAGTAAAGTTTTAGTGTGGTAATATACACCTGACTTACAACAATTGGAAGCCACTGTTTAATTAATTCAACTACAAGAATGGAGATATAATAAGATATGATTTTTGCAAAGATCTTTATAACTGTCCAAACTTTGTAAATAAAATTGAATTGTGTGGGTACAATGTATGGAAAGAGGACATGCATTTCTAGTATTAATGCTAAAAGTAATTTAATTAGATGATTATTTTACAAAATTAGTTTTAACTGTGGGAAACCATAAGTGTATATATATATATATATATGATGAACTAATTGCTATAAACAATAATCAACTCTTGTGATGTCTTGTCATTTCTTTATGTTAAATTTACTGCAATTTAAAGAATATATTAAATTCAGAAAAAAAAAATCATTACTATGTCATTTTCAAACATTGATAAATACATGTCAATAATCTATGTTATTGATAACCATATACTATAGATATATGTTATTGGTGTATACAATATTACATTTTCATGTTAATTCATTTTCTTCACCAAAATACAGCTTTTAGTAAAGAAAATATGATGTAAAGGCCTAATCTATTCTTTGATTCACTACTACTGCTGCAACAGATTACTTTCACCAAATTCATGGCTCATCAGCACTACTTGGAAGAGTGAAGCAAATACATTAAGTATGCCTCATACAGTGGTGGAACTAAGCAATTTATTACCCAAATACCTGAAGTATTTAGGTTATTAGTGGTGATTAAAGGACTATACATCCAAACCAAACAAACTGTTTACATTTTACTCTTTGAAGTTTTATATGGTTGAAGCAACAAAAACATCAAAATCATTATATATTAAAAATAATTCTTGTAGGTGTGAGGTTTTATAAAATAATTCAATAATTGTATGAATTTCAGCCAATAACCATAACTTCTCTTGTAGAACTAGATAAGTTCATATTTTAAAATATTAAGGGATAAGATAAAAACAAGCACTTCAAATGCAAATTTATAATAAAAAATCTAAAATCCATCTCTAAATATTATCTTCTCAAATTCCCCAAATAAAATTAATTTTTTTTCTAGAAATTGAAATTGCCAAACTGTCCCTTCATAAACCATCATGCAAGTATAAACTCTAATGTATAATGTCTGTTCACTCCAATTATAAGTATTCAAAATACTTTTTTATAACTACAGTTTCAATGCTACTCAAGAATAAAAAAACAAACAATTTTTTTAACTGCAAAACTAACTATCTTTCTGGATTTTGTAAGTTACAGCTACTAAACGTCCTATAATTATGGAAAATCTTATTTCCATTCCAACAAAATCTATGAGAATGAAATGTTTAGTCTACAGATAATATACTAACAATACATTTCACCTCTTAATATATACATATATTATCTTGATCAATATTATGATTCTTCTCTCTTCTTATAGCTCTGTACACTTTGTCTTTTAGTTAATGACAAAAAACATAATAAGGTTAATAAAAATTACCTACTATATATTAAAATTAACTTTATTTACTTTATCTTGTCTTAATGTAACCATGTAGGATTAAAAAGACATGCACATTTGCAATATCTGATTCTAAAACTTAAGTATAACACTTAATATGGAAGTTTTACTACTTGTGAAATATGAGCATTAACCCAAGTACTTAATATAAAGATTTTATATTAACTAAAGTCCTCTACGAAGATCCTCACTGTGAGAGATGAAATGCAGGCTTAATCAGAAATAATGACCAACATAGCTTAATAAGGCACTTAGCCAATTTTTTACATAAATTATTCTTTAATCATGAAAAAAAGATAAAATAATTTGTCATAAATGCATATAACAGTGGGGAAGTGACATACCCCCCCTAACACAGAATTTAAACATGAACCAATATATGATATTATCTTTTGTTCAATTAATATCAACGAGAAATGCAAAAATGTTTTTAAATGTACTAACTATAAATTCTACTCTGCGTTTTTCATTTCTTGGGGATTAAATCTGTCAGATCAGAAGTTTTCACAAGAAGCTGGATAGCTAACTGTGGTGCATCATTTTAAGTGATCCCTGTCATGATTATAACACATGCAAGTATCTTCTTTCAAGAAAATTAACTGACTGTTAATCCAATAAAATAAAAAAATAATAACTTTCTTATAAATGTGAACATAGTCACCTATGATATTTTAATCACTGTTAATATTTGCATAGACAGAAGTTTTATCCAGCATTTTTTTATCACATCAGCTGACCAACAGTGATTTCATGAGTGAATGTGTGTGTGTTATAACATAATTTTAACTACTTATGTAAAGACTGATAACAATTTTAAAACAAGAGTTTATCTACCATTGTTTTAGTGTGTTTATTTAAGGAGGTCACTTTCTAACACAAACAGTCCAATTTCAAAATCAAATTTAAGGGATGACCAACAAGGTTATTTTAATGAACACACTAGCACGCATAATACTTATGCACTGTTTGCAAATTGCACACATACAGAAGTGTTTGTTTTGTTTTAGAGCAAAGCCACAGTGGGCTATCTACTGTGTCTACTGCGAAGAGTCAACCCTCACATTTTAGTATTGTAAGTCCATAAACTTACTGCTGTCCCACCAAGGGACCACAGAAAAGTGATTACACAGTTAAGATTGAAATATCTTACAATATATGAGGATTATCTAACCTATCATGGAGTTTAACTGTAACAGAATATTTCATTAATGAATCATAATTACAGTATAAATAGATCTCGTCATGATAACTAGGGCTTAAAGAATGCATTGATAAAACTTACCAATATTCTTATAAGTATTAAAATAAAAAACTCATAGAATTCCCATTTACTATGTATTTTTAACAATGTATAATGAAATCAAAATCCTCATCAGTGCACAAAAGTGTTGATATCTTTGAAATGTGCGATTTCTACAGCAAATGTAACAAACTAAAATTTTACAGCACAAAATAGTTTGGTCAATGTAGAAGTAATCTAAAAGGTAAAGAGTAATACAGATTTTCATTATTATTTTATTTTTAGTAGAATCAGATGACAAAAATTATCCAAAACATTTTCTTCAACAAGACTACTTGAATACCCATCACAAAACTACAGTTTTATGCATGTGTTTACTATCAGAGAAATAGGAAATCACATATGTAAGTAATTATTTGTAATAAGAAAGTCATAGTTATACCTAAGAAGAACTTAAGTACATGTTAATGATAATTAAGCTCATAAACTGACCACTTTTTATACCATTTTGCCTGTTTTTCTAATGATCTGTATAAACACTCAGAACAAAAACTAAAAAAACAACAAGTTAAAAGCCTTATCTATTATCAATGACAGATTAATATAATTTATTTCTTTAAGTAAAATCATGAAGATATCAACTCAAAACAAGCAATAAAGCCATATTATAATCAACCAAGATGTTTCGTATTTTGGAATAAAACAATTCATAGAAACTGAGTGCCATACAGAACTGTACTACTGATTGTTACAATTTCAGAAATGTATGCTATTAAAAGTTACATTACATAAATTTATTCACCTACTAACATGCTTAGATTTGTAATGTAGCATCTTACACTATCAACCTTGTAGACTTTGCTCAAAACTGCAGTTCACAGCTGGTCATAATATGGACTTTTTAAAAAAAAACAAAGTGCTCAAACCAACTAACTTCTTACAGTGACAAAACATTTTTCTTTATAAAGAGATTGAGACTTTTTGATTAAGTATCTTTTTGAAGACTACAACCACAGTCTACCATACAACTCCATTCAAAATCATCTTTCTCAGCTGTTGTCAAATAAGTTCAATCAGCTGTGAACACAAACCTTGATTTTTACAATGTATAGAGTAGGCTCATGCCACCTTTTACTGCACGTTAACATATAGTAGTAAACAAGTTTAGTTGGTTATTAGAAATTATCTTTATTCTATCATAAGCAATACTACAATGGAAGAAAGTTCAAAAAAGTTAGAAACATTTAAAATACAGTTTCCAGGAACTATTCTTGGTCAGAATCCGATTCACCCTCCAAACCATTTTAAATGCTTCTATTTTTCAGGACAATGCAAAAAAAAAGGTAATTTGAGTTTTAACAAATAAATACCTCTAAAACATAATTCTTGATCACTAGTGCAACCAATTACTTCATTAATTGTTACTTTGTTAAATACTAGTCAACTAAAACAAGTTTAGCCATTCTAACAATGTTTATCATGCTTTAAACAAGGTTTCATAAAATGAGATAAATATAAAACAATTACAACATTTAATGTGTACATTTTGAAGCTGTCAATAGTATGGTGATATTATTAAGCTTCTTCTGTATGATTTTCACAGTTTATTATATGGTATTGCTAGGATTGAATTTCTACATTCTAAAGCAACTAGTAGTTAAATGTAGAAATAATGATAAGCTATGTATATATTTTTTTTCATTTCCAAATCCTTAATTATTAAATAAAAGTGATGAGAGTCTCTAAATTTGAAACTTTTGTAATAAAAGATGACAAGTGTTAAATGCTGGTAAATTTGAATTTGTATTTACCATATCCATAAATGTCAACTGTTAATACAATTTAGATACACATACTAAATGAGGTACAATTTCAGAAGTTGTTGTAATAGACACTGAAAGTACAAAACAAACTATTGATAATGTAACCATGGTCAAAAGGATTGATACATAATAAAAACTCAGTCTCAAATTATGATTGATAATTCTATGCTTCTAGAAAAGTTATATAAACTTAGCTCTTCAAAAACTAGTCTGAACACAAAGAGCATATCACTAGTATTGGGTCAACTAGAATGCTTAAATGAGGAGTTAAAAACTTGAAAATGTTAAGTATAAGAACACAAAACTCTAGTTTCACCTTAAAAGCTTTTCAGATTTTTTTCTTCTATTTTTAATGCAGAATTTAAGGTAAATTTGTCAACTGTGATTCTGTAAATCTTAATATACCACAGAGAGGTTTATTACACATTTCACAATGCATATTTTCATTTTAGGCTTCAAAATGTTGAAATGGTTAATAGAAGGACAGACAAGAGCCAGGGAAATTAGGACGTTATGAAAGGCTTTATTGCAATACCAATACAAGGTGTTCATGAAAAGAAGGATATACAAAAATACACATACAACAGTAACCACATGTGGTGAGGACCTATATTAGAAATATAAATACTTGACTCTAGGAAGATGATGTGTATAATAATCATCGTTTTCAACCTCATTTAATAATTAATAAAACAATTTCCATATATTTTCTCAGGCAGCAGACTAGAGAAGGAAAAATTATCAAATGTACAAAAATGAAAACTACAGAAAAAAAATGTCTTCATATATTCAAAGAAGATAATATAGTTTTGACAGAGTATAATCCATTCCTTTTATATTAGATTTACATTTTTTTCAACAGGTCGTACATTCAAGGACTGAAACAAAAATTATTCACTTAAAATACAGTTTTGCAAAATGACTGTCGCGTGTCAAATACAAAAAAAAAGAATGTCTAAAAGAGCACTTTGAAAAAAAAAACAATCCCCAAATAACAAATGCATAACACAAAAAGACCGATGCTCTGACATATTTACCGATTTATTTGTCATTAATTTTTTATATAACTTGTACAAGAGCAAAAATAATACGCCAAATTCAAAGAATGCCCAAAAAGATAAATTCTACTTACTCTCAAAAGCAATGATAACTATAAGGTGCAATATGTAAATTATACATACTGCAAAATATATTTTACTCTTCAGGCATATGACTGCTAAAAAATACAGTTGTTGTTGTTGTTTTTTAGAGGTTAAGGTATAAGAAAATATACTGATGTTCATTTCTTCATTAAAATATCTTAGTAATGTAGGCAATTTTAGAAATTCATTCACAAATAAGAGAACAGGACAATGTAAACATTCCTCAAAAACATTTGACATTTTTTCCTGATATGAAAAGTTAACCCAGTTATTCATTACTGTGCAAAATGAGGAACTAGCATAGTCTATAAGATTACTGAAATGATACCACAATAAATGTTTACATTTAAAAATAAAAAAGGACAAAAAAATCATAATATAAAAGTATTTTTTTCTAACATCTAAACAGACAAAATGTAAAATGCTATTCCACTTCAAAATAAAGTATTTTTATCTGTGAGATTCTTAAATGATTTTAATAAACTTCCTGGCTGAAAAATTAATGCAGTCTTTAACTACTGCTTTATTGCAGGTTTTCTAACAAAAAAAGTCTGTCAATAAAATATAAATATTTTAAAATAAAACCATTGAAAGAAAGATTTTAAATTCAACTTTTTAAAAAAGTTTAAAAAATTCTATATTTGCTAATAATATTTCTTGCCTTATGTAACTATCTGTCTATTATCTATCTACACATTTCCCTCCAACTACACTGTATGATATAAAGCAACCTTTTAAATTAAGCAATAATACACACATTTACCAAGTAAAAGTTGTAGCACAACTGCTGTATCTGTACATTTTTTTTTTGATGGACAAAAACAATTATAATACTGATTATCTATTAAGGTGTTTCAAAACACATCAATTATGATTTCTGTACTTTCAGCCAGTGCTACTACTTTTATTGTTAAGTCCATTAAAATGGAAAATTATGTTACTTTACTGTATAAATAATGTTTCATAACTGCAGAAAATAAAAAAAATTATAAGTCACTTTATATCTATTCTTGTGGAATATGTAATATATAAGTTAGTGTTCTAAAATTCTAAAAATACCTCATTGTTGAATTCAACCAACACATATGATTTACAAGCTCTTTACTTAGTTTTATTAAAACTATATCCAGTTTTTTATGTTATGGGATGAAAGTTAAATAAAGCTCACAACCAATCCATAAGCATGTTAGTTTAAAATTTTATGTTTATTACATGTAGAATATGCATTGTATGTTTCCCTTCACAACAATAAATACACAAGAACATACAAATGAAAGAAATAACTGGTATGCACTTGAATTTTAAAATATTGAAGTAAATATTTAGAATAGTTGATAAATTTGATGAAAGCACTGATAAATAGAAAAGTGAGACTGACTTGTAAAAGTTCTTATTACAAATATTAAACATCACTTTAGTCAATAAGAAAAGCAGACATGAGAGATTAGATGTAGAAACATTCAAAATAAAAGTTTAATAATCAGTAATAAAATAAAAGTGCATTGTTTAGAGTAAAAAAAATCAAATCAAACTTGTCAAGATTAATTTTTTTACCTAAATAAATTGTGGTATCAGATTTATAATTTGGTTTAGTACAAAAATAAATTTAAATTAAAGATTATTCAGATTATAAAATTATCTAGCTTTATATACTTTATATTTCCTCATGGCTTACTTTAAAATTGTACTTTGACCAAGTAGCTAAACTTAATGGAAAATTAAAATTTATCTACTAATAAAGTAATCGTAGAAGTGCAAACCTGAGCTGGGGGAGGGGTGGGGGGGCTTTAAAGGATAACATTTGGAAAAGCCAGATTAAATATTGGCTTTTTTCTCGACATAAAATTTAAGAAATATAACAGGCAAATATTTTTCCAAGTAATATAACTTTTATATTGTTTTTTACATGCTCAGCTCAATTGTAATTTTGAGTTTATATTACTGTTTGATCTTAAGTTTTACACTCAATTACCTGATTTTTTCATTAGTTTCACAAATTAATTGCAATATACTAATTCTTTCCATTTAATAGGCTACTTCTACATGACTTACAATCAATTACATGAAATTCATTGCATCATACATGTAAGAAACCCTTAATATAAAGTTTTAAAGGCTTAAAGCTGACTCGCATGTACAAAACTTCAATAACAGAATACTAAATTGAAGTCTTTGGTTTAATGTAGAATGGTTTTAAAAACAGCTTAGTGATGAATTAATAATCTTTCAAATAATTTATCAAATTAATGCAAGTGGTTACAATTAAAAAGATTCAACAAAAATCAAGATTACTTATGATGTGGTAGATTGTGTTTGAAAACAGTAAGACTAACAAATTTAAAAAATGTTTAACAAATTATTCTTGATGTTAATATGTTGGGATAAAGCATTACAAAGTCGTCTTAGTATCCTGATAAGGATGAATATGATGTGATTAGAATTAAAAACTATCTTAACAATGATTAAAAAAAATATGGAAGCATATTTTTTCTTGATTATGTAAGTATAGGACAAATACTTCTCAGAAAAAAAGTGTAAAAACTATATGTCTAGAAGTACATGACTAGCAAAAGAAAATGTTTTATTGTGGATCCTGTACCAAAAGTTAATATAAAAACACCCAGCCACACACACACTACAGTAAAAACACACACATTAACCACACAGCTTAAAAAAAACGAGTTAAGCTATACATCATTCAGAACTGCTTTTAAAATAGGATATATGAACAAACAGCACCCCAAAGCATGCAGTGCTATATGTGTGTGTGTGTGTGTATATATATATATATATATCATCACTGATCAGTGCTTAAATTTCAACATGTCCAGAAAAAAGTAAGTGTACAATTTATTTGATGCATGACTACATTACTTTTCTCTTTTAGAAGGACACCAACCATGCATTTTTCATATATTGATAAAGCTTTCATTAATTAAATAACTTTAATGACAATTGGTGAATCCAAATGCATGATATACAAAACAAGAAGCAAAAAAGAAATACACATTCAATCTTCTACACAACATAAAAATAAAATGAACAATTAAATCTAATATTGATTTGGCTAAATAATAAAAAAAATCATATTTCTTTCTTTCACTTTAATGTAAGATAATTGTGTACCAACATAGCATAACTGCAAAAAGCAAAGTTACCCTATGATTTAAAGCTATTTCAATAACAAAGTAAATTGACAATAAACATAAAAGTCTTTAAATATTACCTCATCCATTAGATCTACCTACCAAGTACAGACAGATATATCAGCTGATGAAACTGACAATTATAATACAGTTCCCTACCTACTTATAAAGAACCACACATCTCTAGAAAATCTTGAATTTCAGTTTGAGCACACCTTTACTGACTTACAGTATGACACGTTAGTTGATCTCTCTTAGAAATGATCTGTAGGTTGGTTCTATCAAAAAGCCATACCCCGTACAGATAGATACTAGCTGATATTTCTAAAAATTCACAATCAGTGATAGTAAGTGGCTTCCAATCTAAACCCTTTTAATCATCAAACTACAACTGGACACAATAGTAGATATTTCTAGAAGCTTTCCGACTTGACCAGTGATGGTACAGATGTGTTTGAATCCATCCCCCTACCCCCACCCACCCGAGAGACAAAAGGGTCACTCACCTGGTTTCCCTGGCTGCTCTCGGGCAGGGGGAGGGGCTTGGCAACGCTAATGCGCACTACTCCCTTGGGTGCTCCTTTCAGGGCTTGCACAGCTGTGTCCAGACTAGCATTCTCTAAGTTTATATCGTTGACACTCAACAAACGATCACCAGGAATGAGTCTCCCATCTTGCTGAGCCACACCTCCTGGGACTAAACTACGGATTACAATCACAGTCTCATTTGGATTCATAGGATCCTGTAAGAAAATTAAAATATTACTAGACACATTGGCAGGTCGTTCTTATTTACATAAGATTAAACATATATTAGTATGTGTTATAAAACTCTGCTTGGATGTTAGAAGCTTTTCCACTCTTCCAAGAAACAAATAATCTTCAGCTATAGTTAATACTCTAAAACATGATCCATGCTTACACAAAACTCTAAAGTCTTACAAGGTATATTATAAATTAAAACTTTTAAATATGAAATTATTATAATGCAATTTCTTAAAACAATGTAATATGTTCCACAGAACTTTGTAACAGTTTACAGGATACATTTTTTATGTTTAAATTGTAAATTAAATGTCTGTAAAGTTGAATACAGGAGAAATGATGAAACTGTATGTTAAATCCTCATTTTAATTTTAAAAGGATTGAAATATTCAGTCACTACTAACCACATTTGAACACATTATTCTAGTTTGCTATGTTAATTTGAAATTGATAATTTCACAGATCTTACTTTTCATTACTGGATTAGCATATGGGTTAAAATTTAACTTAAGTGGTCAAATTTTCAGATTCTAGTTGTAGCTTATAACTCAATGCAACCTATTTACTATAAGATATTAGACTTCTATCACTCTATATTGTTAAGCCTTATAATAAACATAACCTTCATTTCAGCTTTAATTATCAGTCTTCCAAACTGTACTGTAAATAACTAACATAAACTAGATTTTACATAGATTGTTTAATGCTAATAATTAGTCACATTTTGTATTTTATATCAATTTCATTTAATAATAATTACAATTTTCAGCTTGCTCAGGATCAGAAGTTAGTTATTAATTTGTGTTCATGAATCCAAACACATTAATCACTGCATAAAACTACACTGAAGGATTGTTGCTAATTGTTTATAATACATAATGAGGAAGAGTAGTTTATAAAGTTTTTTAGCTATAATAGTTAATACCAATCCTTTCACTTACATGATGTAACAAAACATAAGTATTCCTTTCACATGATAATTTTATTCAAAAGAAGACTAGCATTATACTTATATCTAAAATTTATTATAGAAGAACTTAATTTATGCAACTTCTGTATCATTCACAAGTTACTTGCTTTACATGTCTTTATGCATCCATTTACATTACATTTCACTCAATTTTAATTTCGAAAAACTACAAAATGTAAAATTTTGATAAAATCATCTACATGTTTTTAAACCAAAACAAGCTAGGCTTTTGACATAAATAAAACAACACTAAAGTTTTAATGACAGTTGGTTTATCAACATGAATTCAAATATAATTTTAACCCCACAGTTTACCTGATAGTCCAAGATACTGAAGCCCAATCCTCGATCTCCCTTAACCAGCTCTATAATTTGAGGTTCACTGGTCCACATGGCCAACCCAGTGAGTGGCTCCAGTGATCTTGACCGGACTTTGCTAAATGATGATTCTAGTGTGATTGCTGAAGCTGTAGAAGCACCAACGGCTAATGATCCATCAGATTTAGCTTTGACTAGTCTCTCAGACAGTGGAGTCAATGAAGTGAGGCTACCACTCAGATGCTGGGACGGAGAGTCCATCGTCATACTTGAGGTCATGGCTTCTGTGTAATCTCGATTTAATGCATTGACCTGAAGGACCAAAGGATCACTAACACTGGTGGACAGAGGCAAAATATCATCTGTTTCAGAAGGAAGGCATCTAGCACAGACCATACGGACATGAACTGGAAGCTCTTTTAATATAGCCACCACTTGAACATAACTAAGTCCCAGAAGTTTCTGACCATTCACCTAATAAGAAACCAATGAATATATTCATAAAATTTCATAAACTAAATACATTTAGAAACCTTTCAATAATTCACTAATAGCTATATGGAATTTTTTCCTTCAAATAAATTAAGTATTTATTCTAAAGTCTTCATCATTAACTCAAGGCATAAAACTCATATTTATCTATTCTACTGAATTCAATATCTTTTCAGAGGTTACATCATAATGCAAGCAACTACACCACAGTAGCTTTAAATTCAAAAGAAATTTGGTATTAACAATATTATATAACTGCAATGCAATCCATTTTCAAGAAAACCAAGGGTCACCACAATGTGATTAAAACTGTTACAGAAACTAACTTTAAACAAAACCTGTGAACACAAAAATTATGAAAATGAAAAGATTCCAAAAATGACTGACTCACTTCTAAAAGCTCATCGCCACTCTGAAGTTTTCCATTCAAGCCAACAGGGCCATCACTGAGAATAGAACGTATATAATGATGTGGTCTGATCTCTTTTCCTTCTTCAACATCAACAGTCCCCTCCAAGCTGATTCCTAGACCACCCCCAGGATGAAACTTTGACAACTGAGCAACCTAGAATTCAGAGATAAGCACTTATGTCAGGTGGAGAATGACTTTATGAATAATTAGAAACTATGTAATAAGTGTGCAATCAATAATAAATATATTTTTAATATCCAGATTTTATACATACTTCAGATGAATAAAAGCTAAAATCCCAAACATACAACAGCAATCACAGCTTTTGACCAGACCTCATGGTAGACTTTTTGATCATGCATTTTCCACAAAGCAGCACAAATGCTAACTTACATTTTTGTTTAAATTTTTTGCATTCAGTGCATGATATGCTCACATTAAACAAGCACAAAATTAATAAAATGCATTAAAAATAACCTTAGCAAATGTAAACAGAAAGCCATGTTTGCTATGTGCACCATATAAAATATGCAATGAATTTTACATTAAAAAAAATATTGTACATTTCACAACAGATTTGTTGGACATGTGAAAGTCTTAAATCAACTTTTTCTTGACTATAAATATAAAAAAAATTTCAAAATTTAAGACATAAATTAATTGTAATACAGGATGGCAATATGATCATAGATATTTGTTTATTAACCTCTAGCTAACTTATCTTTTTCTTCTTTTAATTATGATTTATCCTACAATTGTTTATTTTATGTTCTGTACCTTTTTTTACACCAATGGTTAAATGATTTTCACAATAACTTTATGCTGCACACATATCTTTGTGTCATTGTATATTTTTTGTTTTAATGTAAACAAATGAATATTTGTGATCTTGTTACATACTCTTCACTGGCCTATAGAATACACTTAAAAGTGCATAGTCTGTAACACATTGTGAGTCTATAGCAGTGCAAGTAATAGGTTGCTCCTGAAGATGTCCTAGAAACAAAATGTTGAATGATGTAAACAAAACCTTGTTCTGGAGCTTATGGTAATTTTTTCACCATACTTTGGTAGTTCCTTTACACTTCCCAAAAACTTCTGCTGGTAATTTTAAACTAATGGAATCTTATAGTGTACTTTGCTCTGGCATGAGTCTCACAGATTAGTGAAGGGGATGGATCTTTATGAAACAGCTGTTCATAATTTCTAAAATTAGTACAGAGGTAACTTTTGTAAATAAGATATATTAAAATAATACTTTATATTTAATTTTTGTAATATACTTGTTACTATACTTCAAAATTTCTTTCAATAAAGTGGGATAGTACAAGATATCACAAGTCCTGTGATTGCATTGTTGCTATTGCATGAGTGTGTGTTAAATTCACCTTTCAAGTCAACAATTATGGGCACACTGTTAATTGTACAGTATACGGCTGTGTCAAGCAGTGTTTCTTATTTCATTTCAAAACGTAAATTTTCCTTAACAAAAAATTTGGGTTAAAAAATATTCAATGATTATCACACTTTATTTTGAGGTATGTGTGTTTTAGATATGGTGAGGTCTATGAAAAGACACAAAATGTGCTGAAATTATTGAAATCACTCATTGATGTGAAATATATAATAAAATTTTAATATATTGTATTTCTTAACATAAAACTCCCCACAAGGAAAAGTTTCTCTCTCTCTCACCTAAACAATATAATCTTTATGCAACACATTAAGAACAATCTGTTCTTCAATCTTTGTTCACAAATATGTAAAACAAATGTTACTGTGTTAATGGTAATTTGTTCAATGCTTCCAAAAAACAGTAATTTCTTGGTATGAGGATGATTATCTAATGCAATTATTAAGATGATCCACACATAAAATGGTATAAACTACTAAAACATACCACAATATCAAAACCAGGACCCATTATTTTATTCCATTTGGCTTTAATAACTGCTTCGGTGCTTGCATCCAAAGATCCAGCTAAACAATAGTTACATATTGTGAATAAAGAGAAATATATATATTAAGTTATGGTAGTTACAACTAAACATTATCATACACAAGATATCAATATTTTTTCCAGTTTTTATTTAAACTTGCTTTCAAAATCTTTTCTCACAGTCAGAAACTCACATTAGTAATTCAATCTTTTATATCAACTTATAACTAAATATATATGAAGCAGAATTGTCATCTATGTATCTGCTTTTCATGCCCATTTTTTGACAGATCTCAACCAAACTTGGCATGTGCTCTTAGGTAGGGTCTGGGGTCTATGTCTTTCCCATGCATTAAATACATATGTCAGCTAGTATACAAACCAGAAAAAAATTTATTTTCAAATGTAACATAACTATAAATAAACTAAAACAAGCTTGGAAGCCATAATGTGTTGTTTTTCAAAATTTTAGTGCATACTGGAGGGATTTAGACATTTTGGCAATAAATTTAGAAAGAAAAAATGACCTTTTATTCTCCAGATAATAATAAAGTTAATCACTACCATTTGTCTGTATATTACAATGTTAAATGTTCTTTCATAACAACACCAAAGTGCCTTTTACACCTGCATTTTCCACCAAAACAGCCATAAAAAATTATATTTAAACCAGCTGAATTTATAAATAATTTTAAAACTTGCATTTTTTTTTCAAAGAAGCCTAAATTCCAGACAACTGTAATTCAATTAAACAAACTTGATTGCAGAATTTAGAAAACAAAAACAGTTTAGAAAAAAGTGAAAGATACTTACTGTAGTCATCATTGATAAGGATACTGATGTCATCTATATTTACTTCTGAATTTACAGCATTAATTACTTCATAAGGTGAGGAATTTGTGTATTGTGTAATGACAGGAGCTGGGGGAGGCACAGGGGTACTAAGTTCTCCACTAGCTGCAAGATAAGATAAAATAAACCACTTATACATCACACAAACATCTACAAATATAATTTCTTATACCTAAAGGAGTTACTAGGACATACCAAGCTTACATAATAATAACTTAATAAAAATACTTTACTAAAAAATTACAATTATATGAGCTTCAAAAGCAACCAAAGTTACAAGCATGGACTTAACACTTAACTAAAAGCACAGTTATTGCAAATAGATAACCAATGTACATTATATGGAAAGAAATGAAGATAAGTTCACTTTTCTTAAAAGCATGTAAATTATAATAAAATAATACATCAAAAGACCATAGAATTGATAACGTATATGCTTTCAGAAAATGGTCCTTTCAGACATGCTCATGTTAAAAAGTCTTTTATATTCATATAAAATTAGAGATGTTTCAATAAGAATAAAAAAGTTTTCAGAACAAGCAGTATTGTATGTCAATAAATCACAAGTTTAAGTTATAATCTACTGAGAATCATCTCTACTTCAACTACCTTCAAAACAAAAACAAATCCATGAGAATGCTGAAAACAATTTTAGGATGAAACACATTAAAAGATACTGAGATTTAATCATAACAAAACACTAATAATCTAATTATGAAAACCATCCCATGAAACATAACACAGTATATGAGCCAAATAAGAGTTGATAAAATGAACTAGTATTTGTTTGTAAACTGTCCCTTACCCACAGCCTGCTGTATTTCTTCATACTTAGCACCTCGTAGGTAGCGAGCCAGTCTAAGCTTCACCACTTTTCCTGTGTTGCGTAACACTTCAACAGCCTGGTGATTAGTGTAGCCATGAAGGGGACGTCCATCAACCTGGTGGTACGAAAGAAAAGTAGTATGACTAACCATATCTATTTTTACTATATTATAAAATATTCCAAGGGTCCACTATAAACTTACAACTAAACAATAAGACTTTTAAGATCTCACTAATAAGTCCATGTGAAATTTAGAAATGAATAATAACTCATTTATTTGCTATTGATAAAGCTGTTTAACACTGAAGACTGTAAAGACTTCATGGTTTTTATTTCATACTGCAATAGCATCTTATAATTTACGAACTTCAAAATTATAGGACATTATGTCTACAACAAACAGTTTGTGAAAATACCATAATTTTTGTCTACACATTGGTCACTTGCAAAATTTTCTGTAAGAAAAGACAATTCACTGTAACTAAAATACTAGAACGTGACTCTACAAGTACAGTTAAGTAATCTTTATACTGGACTGAACTATAATTCTTATATATGTATATTGGAACTACATCTGTATTATGAGCCAAAACATTTTATTTTTGGGTGCATATGGAATTTTTGACATTTACCAATTTGTAGTAAGCAGATGAGGACAAAAGTAACATGGAAATACAACTTAAGTTTTCACAGGTTATGCTTGTAATTATAAAACCACTACTTCTAACATACCCCTTAATTTTTCCATAAATTGTTTATATTTACTTTTAAGCCTGCAACTAATGTACTAGCACCTGAATTTATAAGGACTATTAACCCACAGGGAGACTTGGAAACAATCTCATTTTTATTGAATTGTGTATAAAATAATTGTTGTTTTTAAAAAAATTTTAGTTTTTAAGATTGACATTACACACGTGCCAAAAAAAGTTTGAAAAACACTATTGTTATTAAGAATTAAGCTTAGTGTTTGACATATGCTTCTATCATAAGAGTACAAAAGCTGAAAAAGACAAGATTTAAGACATAAGTATTAAATTTCTTGGTTTTTATGTTATTAGAGAAACTAAAATGCAAGAATCAGAAACTTATCATGTTATATAAGGAATTTTAAGTTAAATTAAATAAACAAAATACTCGTGATTAATGACAGTAAGCATCAAGTGCAAGAGCATTTATGCACTTGGATTCGTTGTTTACACAATGTTATGCTGTGTAATAAATAGCCATTGGTGTAGATGAAAGAGTCTACATTCAACTTTAAGGGCATAAAATTAAATCAAAAATCTATTAACTGTGTGTAACTGTCTGTTAAAATGAGCAGTAATTCTAGAAAAAAAAAGGGGTAATTTACATTTTGTATTTTTGTTTTAAGGTGATTATACGGTCAGTCAAATAAAACAAGTCTCTATATAGTGTCAGAATAAAGAAAATAAGAAATAAAATATAAAAAAATATATAAATATATATAAAATATATAAAAAAAAATTTTTTAATCTTACAATAAAGATCACCTTGCACTTAGACTGGTCAGAGTCTGGGTTAGACTGACTAAAATAAGTTCAGAGACAGTTCTTAAAAGAAATACTTTTTAAAAATTCTAATTTTTATGTACAACATACTTGTAATAATTACTAAAAGATGACCAAATTTTGTGAAGATACATTAAGTCCATTCAGAGTTATAATATGTATAGTTTCTCAGTTGTATGGAGGTTACAAAGTTGTGCAAGATACCCAAGACTGTCTCCATCGGGTTAAGTAATTTTATTGGGCTATTATTAATTTTTATAAATTGAAAAGTAACAGTGAAATACAACTTTAGAAATACGATTTTTTAGAACCATATATTTTATCATGAAGTTTTTAGCCTTCTTTTGCATCATAATTATGGTAATAAGTGCACTTTTTCTTATAAACAAAGAGCTATTTTTCAATAAGTAGTATTAGGAACTACAATTTGTACACTATCACAAAAATAAAAAACAATGAAGGCCACTGGTTGCACAACTATGTAATTTTAAAAACAGTGTTTTTAACATAAATCTTAATTATCCTACAAGTTGTTTATGTTTTACTATTAGGATTGCAACAGAAATTAAACCAATTCATCATGACAGTAAACCAGTGTTAAACAAAGCTTCCTTGATTTGATCTTGAATATGTACATAAAGTTTTAGATTGCTTTGCAAATAAAAATTATATGCTGTTTATCTACCTTAGAAATAACAAAAGAATAAAATTCATAAGATGGGTAAGATGACATTGTAACACCAAGTCAGGCAAATCAGTCTATTTTTAACAATAGTCTTGCTTTCACAGAATATCATCAATACCATATGAACACAATCTGCCATTTAAGATTGAGCATTAATATTTAGTGTTCAATTTCAAGCCACTACAAGTTATATTGCAAGACTCACAAAAAGTGACATTAAGATCTTAATTTAGCTTTCTGCAAAACACCTAATATTTCATATTATTCAAGTTTCATCTCTTGTTTTCTATTATGTTTATACTAAGCATCAACTTTGACACCTACATTCCCTAAGATACAAATATTTAATCAATTCAATTCTACAAAAAAGGTTGTTTGATTTCACTATCAACAAAATACAAAGAAATGGTTATAAAATTTATAAAAAAAGTTGGCTAACCTCAATAATCTGGTCATTGACTAGGATCTGCTTGCTTATATCAGCAGCACTCCCTTTGGCAATACTTTTCACAAATATTCCAGATAACTCTTCTACCAGAAATAAAAACAACAACTTTCAGAGTTAAACCTTCTAAGTTATTATCCTACTGAATTTCAAAAGTTCAAAGAATATAAACCAAAAAACAATCAATAATATTTTAACACAAAATAATCAAAGTGTTGATAGTTAATAATGAATGAGACTCAATTTGTTTATCATTGCAAAATTCAGTTCAACAAATTTATTTTGGTCTGTGTATATTCAGAAAGTTGACTGGATTTTAAAGTTTAAGTAAAAATCTCCATATTAAGATACTTCTTTTCCAAGTCCTACTCTCCTTCATGTTACATACCAGTACTTAGCAGGAAGTTTAATTTAAAAAAGACAATTAACTTTGTTCATAAAGAAAGCATATGCTGCACTAAAGTTGAATAACAAATAGTTTTGTCATCATGATATTCATCAGATTAACTTACTACTATTTTCCTTAAACTAAGCATAGTTTATACTCTCTTGCATTACTTCAAACGTTAAGTAAAATAATACAATTTTAGTTTGACTATTGGATACAATGCTTAACTTTCTTGCTGTGTTGGATCTAGCTTTCTAATTTATATTTCCATAAACAATTACACTATGCCTTTGTAATGTCTGTACTATAATGAATAATATACATTAAACTTAAAATGTTATAAAGGGGATCAAAAATAGAAAATGGGTAAGTCAGAGCAAACAAATGCTATTTCGATGACGAGGAACCCACTTTGAGACTAATAATGGCTGGAGACGGCTTGAATGGGTAATGAAGAAAAACTTTAATACAACAGCAAATGTACAACGTTTCGACAAGGTTTTGTCATCATCATTACAAAAGTCTCCAGCCATTATTAAACAAATGCTATGTTACACAAACAAGGGGAGATTGAGAATTTATTTAAATATTTCTCTTTGAAATTAAGAAAGTAAAATTTAAATAATATTAAGATTTGATTTATTAACTATGTTTTGGTGTCAAATTTATTTATATACATTAATAATATAGTAGTTTTAATTAAATTTTGAATGTAACTCTGTGAAAGGTTGTGACAAGCATACTTTGACCTACTTTGCCACATCCTCTCTATCAAAATTGCTAATAATTCTCCCTTACATTTTCTATTACATCAATTATAGCCAATAGAAAGACAAAGTTTTAATTTTCCAAATGACAATATAATGCTAGGTTGTTCTCAGTTCAGAATTTTAGATGTTTTGCCTACAGATTGAAATTTGCCCAAGTTCAGATTAAGTAGCTATGGAAATTATTTCAAGGCACTTCTGCCTTAGTTAAAAACCTGGTTAACCTTTTCACTATTATCTTGGTGGATTACAACCCACACTGTGACCCCAAAGTGACCATCAGAGTTTCCATACTATAAGTTTTAGCATGTTTTTTAAGCATTTAATAAACATTACTAGTCTTTTGTACACAAAAAATGAGATTTTTTAATTCAGTATTTTTACTAAAAATTTGTCCATGAATATGCGGAGTCAGTGTGTTGACTGCTCTGAGTGCAAAGTGGTTTTCAGTTTATGATTAAAAATACTTTTCTTCATCTGAAAATTATCAAATTGTATTTGTGTAATTTCTAAAACCTCATAAATAAATATTAAACATTCTTTTTTCACTAAAAATTTATATTTTATCTGCTTTTTTTTTCTACCCTAACTCTATACACATTCAGTCAGTTTGACTGAACTCATAACCACCATAAATAAAATGAGTTGTACTGTTCTGTCCTTTTTAGTATTGACTACAAAGTTCCAAAGTGCTTCTTCTCTTTAGTTTCTACTTCTAACGTTTTCACATTTACTTCCTAAGTTTATTTTAATGTTAGCAGCTGAAGTAGAACCTGCTGAACATAAAATGATGAATCACCACTGCTGCCATTAGATTGTTTACGTGGTGATGCCATAATACAGCACCAGTGATAGCAAACAAGTATTTGTGGTGCAGGAAACCGAGATTCTCTCAGAGTTTTTCATAACCCTGGCTATAAGAAAACAGTGGAAGAGGATTTATTGGCTTCTTTTTAGTACAGTAGTTACAACGAATTTTGTCTATAGTAACAAAAATGTGAGAAAATGTTTATGATATGGCTCTGTATAAAGACCAGGCCAATCTAATAAACTTGGTCTATGTATTTGAATGTTAGTTATCCTTCCAGAATTGTTGGAATTTAACAGCATATGTGTACAAAGTGTGAACATGTGTGTGTGTGTGTGTGTGAATTTTTAGTTACTTCTCTTAAAACATAGAATAATAGATTAAAAAATATGTAGAAAAATGATGGTTTCTAGTAGTTACAATGTTGCAAAATTGACTTGCACTCATGAGCCACTTGCTAAACCTCAATGTAAGCCTCGTTTATTCTCTCAAGTGGAGTGGGAAGACAAATTAATTTTTATAGATTTCAAAGATGCATTTTAGAAAAACGATAATTATCAAATTACTATACTGGTAGACATAAAACCACTGTAATTTATCTGGCTTTCTAGCTGAGCTACATGGTTTAATTCATTTTGAATTTTGAGCAAAGCTACACAAGGGCTATCCATGCTAGCCATCTCTAATTTAACAGTGACAGACTACAAGGAAGGCAGCTAGTCAACACCACCTACTGCCAACTTTTGAACTATTCTTTTACCAACAAAATGTGGGACTGGCCATCACACTATAACACCTCAAAGGCTGAAAGGACAAGCATGTTCAGTGATAGGGCAAAGCTAAATGTGGGTTTAAAAAATATCATTTCTGTTCAGAGCAACAACTTAGTCAACAGATTTCAAAATTTTCAATAAAACTCAGGTTTTCCCCTTCAAGATAATTCTTAACGACTGTGAGATTTACAAAGTTTGGAATGTGCTCTTTCTATTGGTTACAAACATGTACTCAAGAGAAGTAGGCATGAGTAAATAAGGGGTTTCAAGAAAGTGGAGTAGTGGGAGGAACTACTCTGGTAGTCTGGTTAAGTATATTGATATCTCAGTAAATCAAAAATGCAAGTGGTTCATATTTTACATTGTAGCTTGTCAGTGTCTGACATTCGAGTTTCTAATTCATTAACCACTACAGATATTATATTGTAGGCATAATACAATATCAAATGACCAACAACACAAGAGGTCATGCAGTGTGACATCCAAAAAAGGATATTTAATAAAATTGGCATCAAAATGTAGTTTATAATTCAAAAGAAAATATTAAAAAAAGTTGACATATGTTGATAATAAAGTTTAATTAAATTTTGAAAATAACTAAAACATCATCACATGCCCTTTGATACATCTGTAACAAGAGAGTTAAATTATAATAATTATAAGAAATTGTTTTTTTTTGTGTGTATTATTATTCTGTGTTCTTATATTCATAAGTAAAAATTATTTAATATACCATTACAAAAAAAGGAGGCTTAAATTTCCTTAGCAAGCCAACAGCAAAAAAATAAAAATAAAAGACCAAACATTAATTGCTTTTATGTATATTTTTTATTTATTCTTATAAAAGTAACTAAAATGTAAAAATAAGAATTTATTAGGTTAGATAATGAAAAATTATAATTACAATAAAAAAATTTCTCCATTTATGCATTACGTTATTCAATGGCCATAACTTACAGTCTGTATGGCAGGATTATTAGTTATACCCATTTCAAAGTGCAATAAAATTAAGTAGAAACAAATGTAAACTGTTATGACCTTTAAGCTACTTAGGATAAACAACTGTAGTTTTCTACTACAATCTGTAGTCATTCTAGAAAGACAAAAAGAGTAATTTAGATTTATTATTTTTTTGTGGTGATTACCAGGTCGGTCAAATGGACCAAATCCATACAGAGTTAGTGATGAAAAAATAACATATAAATTATAAAGTTTTAGTGAAAAAAAAAAGTTTGGTATTCATTTAGGAGGTTTTAGAGATCATATAAGTGATATTTGAAAACTGTACAATGAATAAATATGTTTTTAACCTTAACATGATAATCACCTTACACGTGGACCAGTCAACACTATCATTCTACATATTCACAGACAAATCTTTCATAACAATACTTAATTAAAAAACCTGATTTTTTGTGTAGAAAAGACTTGTAATGTTTACTAAAAGCTTGTCCAATTTCATGAAGATACATTAAGTACTTTCAGTTATAGTATGTATACATTTGTGGTTTTAAGGTGGTAAAAATACACTAGTCTGTGTCTACAGAGTTAATAATCAACATTTAAAAGAGTTAGCCTATTTAATGCATATTTTAATCAGCAAAGAAGTGTGCATGCAACCATGTTCACATAAAAAAGTATACCTTTTTCACACACATAGCCTGCAATAGTTACTCCTAGCCCTTGTTGATCTTTTGTTAATTCCACTTCAAAAGTTTCCATTTCTGGAAGATTTTCCATATCCTCATCATCAAGTTCCTCCCTTGGTGATTGAGTTTTCTCTTCTCTTTCCTGTTGGTCCTATACCACAAAGAAAGCAGTTAACAAGCTAATGAAGATGCTTAGGATTATATAAACAACTTCAATGTACATATCCACATGTACATCACATCCAACACATACAGTTTCATTGAATTTACCCCACTGATGCTTTTTTCAGTCATTTGTCAACCTTGCTATCAAACAATTTTTGCTATTACTAAAACAACCTGCTATAACAATGGTTTTTTTCACCTATTTTTTATACTTGCTTATATGATATGTGCTGAAACATGCACCACAATGCATGACATTTTTCAACATCACAGCTTCATAGCACTAATGGAATCCAAATCCAAATAAATGTACTAATTTTTTATATTTAATATTTTAAAAATATGTTTCTTTGATGGAGGTAGTAGCTACATTTTCCAGTGAGTAATGATACGACCACTCTAGAGTGCCATTCAAAGGATTTGTAATACATCTACATGGTTTTTAAACAGCAAGAAGCAGTTCCTATTACTTCTTTTTGATAATTCATAAACAAGATAAAAGCAGACTTACAATAAATGAGCTATAAATCAGTAGAGATAGCCAATATATTTCAAAGTGTGCATGAGATGTCAAATGCTCTGTAATTTCTCATTTTACAGTTAATACTTTAAAGATTTTCAACAACATATAATATTGTGAATGTTATTTTTATGGACTTCTCTTGCCTTTTTTATCATTTTGAAACAATTTTTTGGGGGTTCCATGCTGACCTGATGAAAGATTGAACAAAGAGACCAAACCAAAAGACAAGGAGAAATTTATCAAAAATACAGTCTATATGTCAAACAAACTGCCTGTCATAGATATATAATTTAATAACTGCACAAACATGTACATGAATATATGCTGCTTTAATTCATTTTATGCACCAAACACATTATCAAGTTAAAATTTGATATATTCTCATTCCGTCATGTATTCCTTCTAAAGTAAACTAAAAACCAATTTTGTTTTTCTCCTAAGTTTTATTTACTAAATGATAGTTTACACTACATTTTTCAATTGGGGATGTCCTTTAATTTTAACAGTCCTAAGTTTTCATGTTATCATTTCACATAATTTTATTTATCATAAGGTTGGATATAATCCTACATCGAAATGCAATAACAGATATAACTGTTCATAATCATGCTACACTAGCAAAAGGTGTTCACAACATACCAAAAGTTATTCTAGTGAGTGGCTTATATAAATAACATTCCAACCATTTCTATGTTTTTTGTATTCCAGACAGTATGATGAGCTATGGTACTGAGCAAAATGCATCATGAGCAATGGATAAGGCAGACATAATGTGGTCGAAATACTATTATACACTCTTCAAAGAAAACCCCTAAAGAACCTACTGAAGAAATGTAGTGTTGAAAAATACAATAAACTTAAAACTATAGTCTTATAGTGAATGTAACTGATAATAATCCCACTTTGCCAACTAAAAGGTACAATGTTTATCTTTTTTTTGTCTGATTACATCAGGAGTGAAAAATAAATCTCATCATTATCTGTACTGGGATAAAGCTTGCATGATAATATAACACAGTACCTCAACATATTAGTAATTGCATTTTTGTTCTACCAGAACTAGACCAACAAATTTACAAAACTCTTTTACACAGGGAATACGCAAGATATTATTTAAGTCAGACTAAAAACTAGCTAATGAAATATAAAACTAAGTGTGATTTCTTGCTGTTGTTTGTTTTTTTATTCATTTGTGAATGCTTGTATTTTACGAAAACTATTAATCTTTAAAGCTAGAAATGTACCAAACAGTAACAAAATACAAAAGTATAACAGTACAAAGTTTTTCTGTCCTCCAATTGTTTAATAGTATGTACTTACTAAATAGGCTATATCTTGTTCTGGTTGAGCCAAAGTTCTATCTAAGTATATAGTTCCATTTGGTGCAAAATCATCATCATCGTAGGGTATATCTTCTATATAGCCTTTCTGATTTTGTTGAAAGAGTGCCAACTGGTGGTCTACTTCATCGGGATCAGAGAGAATGTGAGTTGGGACAATGGGAGCACTTTGGCTGAGTGTTTTGTAGTCAACAAATGACAGATCTACAGGTCGAGCAACAATCAATCGAACTCTACTCCCGGCCTGTCTTAACACTGAAGCTACCTGTTCTGACCTCATCCCTCTAAGATTAACGTCTCCAATTTGAAGGATATGATCACCACTCTGAAGTCTTTTATCCTGCAATAAAATCAACATAAAAGCTTGATAAATGATCTACAAGGAACTACTTGTCAGTTCTTTTTACAAACTAAAGCCCTTCAATGTAGAAATTAATATAAAGATGAAATAAATCTCAGAAAGAAAATTAGTATTTTTAAGCTCATTCTCTCTTATTGAACATTGGTATTTCTTGTCCTGCCTTTATCAAAGATGAAAACTAACTATAGGCTAAATCTTATAGTAATTTTAAAATGAAACTCTGAATTACAGCTACATAGTTTCTGTTATTAGGAGTGTTTAGTTAAGACATGACTTACAAATATTCCTCTGTTGATTAATGAGCTTAAAATAGTATTTTAAAAGAAATTAAATTTCTGTACAAAATATTTAGATAACTATGGAAGAACAAAAAAATAATTTAATTGATCCTCATTGTTCAATACTGGTGTTTAATATGCATTAAGTTAATTGATCAAGCAATGGTTCTTAATTACAGCTATATGTAGTTAAGCTTAATGTAGATAACAACATCAATTTTTGTTTTACCTGATCCTGTAACAGTCTGTTATGAGATATTTAGCCTTAAGCTCAGCAGATACAATAAAGATATATATATACACTTCTTGTATCACATACTTTTCACCAACATATGTGTATAGCAATAAAAAAATGGCCAGTTTTTCATACAAAATACATTTTATTTTATTTATCCAAGAATTTATTATTTTCCTATACTGAACATAGTTTCCAATAAGTACTTACTTTTCTCACATGTATAGCTGTTCTCTTTCAGTGCTGCCCTCTATATGCAAACAATGTATTGTATGCTACAAGTCTTGAACTCCCACGTACCCCACGATCACTGAGGTTCAACTGCATCTCACATGTAAATCATTATGCGACAATTCTCCACCAATAGGAGTGTGACATCCTCTTGATGCATGTGACTCCTTGTATTCAATTCTACCAAACTATCACTTCAAGATTAGGAAACAAAGAAAGCACTGGTTTTCAGTGGAGAGGAAGGGTGGGAAGCATGAAAAGAGGTAAGTATCTATCGAAAATATATTTTCAGTATCGGAAAATAACAACTTCTGATATGATACGTTACCGCTTCTCACATGTATAGCTAGAATCCCACATTGAATAGTTGTAGGGAGGGAAAGAAGTATCCTTCAAAAGTGCCCAAAGAACGTCCATAAAGTGTGATCCTTGGGTGAGGAACACACGTGGGAAAACACACTACTTCTGTACCAGGTATACTCTGCCCCCCAGTGTGGAAATAGATGCCACACACATGGGCAGAAAGTTGGAGGAGAACCGGTTGGGTTGGAAACCGAACCACAGTATACTGGAATCTCAATCCCATAGAAAAAAAAAAGACTATACAAGAACTATCTACAGACAGGAATGTGGGGAAGGCTAAAATGGATGTGCCCCAAGGTATAGAGTGGCTAAGGTGCTATGTAAATAACTGGTCAACTCCTATCCAAAATGAAGCAGCATTGGGAATAGAACCTCCAACCCACGGTAGGAAGAGGATCTACACTGTCTTCACCTCAAGTTAAGTCAAATGGAAGTGTATACTGTGCAAACCAATCCACAAACAACCACACATCCAGGAACCTGAAGTCTTAATGACAGTAGGATGAGATGTGCCAATGTGGTAGTTCATATCACACTAAAACAGATTGTCACCTCACTGTGCAACATCAGCCTCAGGCAGTGAAAACACCCTGAGGTGGAGTGTAAAAGGAAGGACCATCCTCCCAATCAATATTATCTTCCAGATAGGACTGCACAGAAACCAGAGCACAATGCCACATTCCAGGTCCCACCACACAGAAGTGGATCGCTTCTAGAAATATATAGCAACTGCACCCTCCAGACAGAACCACACAGAAGCTGGGTGCAACATCAACTTCCAGAAAACACCACACGGAAGTGGAGTTCCTGAACCAAATTGAGAGAGGAAAAGGAAGCACAACAAATACATGTATAAGGATTTATATTGATTGGTCCAGTTCTAATCCAAAAACACTCACTGGGAACTGATGGTAGAATGAGGGATCTCAATTGAAGGGGCAAACTGCAATGTTATGGATCTGCTCCAAAGCAACATCATCCTTTGGTTAGGACCATTTAAAGGCTGGAGCATAATAGCAACCATTGAGTCCCACCAAGAAGTAGATTGCATTTATAAAATATAAGCAACCTCACCCTTTGGAAAAAACTGCACAGAAGCTGCATGCAACATCAACCTTCACAGGGGTGAAGTGCATCTACACCAGCAGAACACCACTGCCCTACTCTCTACTGAATGGAAGCAAACATGTTCAGGAGGACTCCTCCATGGTCCACCATCCCAGTGGCTCAGAACTGGAACATGCCCCTGGAGGGAAAAATATATATATATCAAAAAGATAACTTACCTAGTCATGGCCACACTGAAGTTTGAAGGATGGTAACAGTCAGAAAGAGGTACCCCAAAGAGGAAGAAACAGCTATCCAATGAAGATAGCGTGAGATGAACAAATGAGGTGGAGCCCACATGCCTTACTGAATAGTTTCCTCCAATGGACGATGGAGGTGAGACTCCAGG